TTCAATATTGTGGGTAAAAACTTGACAATAAAGCAAGATGTGTCTCATAAATATACCACCCAAAAATTCCTATTAAAGGCTCTTTAACTGACACTGCAAAAAAAGGATTGAATATTTGAATGATATTGTCATTCCATTAAATGATTATTATAAAGCTTGCCTGTTATTTATTGTATTCTGTTTAAACAAGATGTATAAATACATTACCTACAATAGGTACAAAAACATAATTTAATAAACTTATGTATTATATATTATGTTCAAATACGTTTCTATTATTAATATAAATTTAATAGAAGCTAATAAATGTATTTAAAATACAATTCCTTTAAAATATGCAAATCATTTTTTTTTCTGATAGTTTTGCAAAATCAATACAAACTCCACAAAAGTAAATACCTAGACTAGTAAACTGTCAGTGTTTTACCATAAATAAACCTTTTTAAAAAACTCAATTAACGGTAATATAATAGGCAATTGATAAATAAATCTAAAGAAAACGACAGAACTTAGTTTTATTTGAAATCATTATAAATATATAACACTGTTCCAAAAAATATTTGCTGCCTTTAAAATATCATTTAGTTCTTTTTTTTATTTAGTAGACTACCTCATCAACCAAGTAGGTTATTATCGGTGGAGTGGATTTACATGGTTTATAAATAATTAAGGATTTGAATGTCGTTTAAATATTTGACAATAGATTTTGTATCACAGTTTTCACCTAAAAGAGAGCACGGTTTTGTAGATTGTTTTGTTGTCTTTTATTGTTATATTTTACACATTCTAATAGCAAATGCTTTACTGTAACAACAGTGTTGCATGTGTCACAGTATGGTTTATTTTAATTTTTTAATAGGTACTCGTGTGTAATTTTCGTATGGCCTATTCTTAGTCGCGATATTAGCACTTGTGTTGAATGCGGGTATATTTTAATAGACCAAGGTTTCACTGTTGTTTTAACTTCCCGTAACTTAGATGTTGATGTTTGCCATTAATTTTGCCAAGCACTTAGAACTTTGGTTTTTACCCACATTTTCATGTCTTAATGTAAAGTTTCACTCACTATTTTCGCACTTTCACTACTTATTGCTTCTTTGGCACATCTGTCAGCTTCTTCATTGCCCTGGATTCCAACGTGTGAAGGGGTCCATAACAACATCACCTCAATGCTGTCTTCTTTTAATCGAACCAACTTTTCTTTTATTAGGTATTCAAGTTTATGGTAGGAATATACTTTTTCAATTGTTTTGAGAGAACTCAGGAAGTCTGTTATTATTAACGCTTTTCTGGGATATATTGTCTGTGTATGGGTAAGGGTTTTCAAAAGAGCTAACATTTCTCCAGTATAAACACTAGTTAAGGCGGGGAGTTTGTGTTTTAATTTGGAATGTTGGGTTACAATTGCGGCTCCAACGCCGTCTGATGTTTTAGATGCATCCGTATAAACCTTGTAGTGATCAGGATATTGATCTAATTTGGATATGAAGAAATGTTTTATTAAAGTAGCTGGAGAATCTGTTTTATTTAAGGATAAAAGAGAAGTGTCGATAAATGGGGCATGGTGGAGTTTTTATATTACAGGTGAATATAGAGGGAAAATCAAGTTGCAGAATTTCTAGTTGTTTTACAACTCTTTTATAAAAAGGAAGGTGGCAGTTTTTTTTAGCAGGTACAACTGTTTAAATCTTTCTGAGTGGGTGTTTTTAAAAGTAGGATGTTCTTTCTTATTTATCAATTAACTTGCATAAGTCAACGTCAAATATTCTTTTTTTCTATTTAGCGATGGTTCCCCCAGCTGGACGTGTAAGCTTTTAGACGGTGATGTGCGATAAGCCCCTGTTATAATTCGCAACGCAGAGTTATGAACGACGTCAAGAGAATTGAGAATACATTTTTTTGGAGATGCGTAGACAATGGAGCCAAAGTCAATTTTAAATCGAATGAGACTTCTGTAAATAAGTAGAAGGGTTTTCTGGTCTGATCCCTAATTTCTGCTGGATAATAGTTTAAGTAAATTAATAACTTTTTGACAAACTACTATGAGATTTTTAATATGATCATTCCAGTTTAGTTTGGTATCGAAAATCATACCTAGAAATTTTGTAGTCTTTACAAATTCCAGTTTTTTTCCGTAGAGCCTAAATTTTGGTAGTTAATGATTGTTATTTTTAGAAAATATCATGCATTTTGTCTTTAAAGTTGAGAAGTGAAATCCTGTTCCATCAGACCATTTTTATATATCATTTAATTGTTTTTGTAATATTGGCTTCATCGTTGTGATGCTTCTGCTTTTAATGAACATTACTAAGTCGTCAGCATATAGTCTTATTTTGACTGGCTTTTGAATATTTTCTGCAATATCATTGATTGCAAAAAGAAATAGTGTTAAACTGATAACAGAACCTTGAGGTATTCCATTCTCTTGTATTTTTCTCTCCGAAAGTTCACCATTTGTTTTTACATAAAAATATCTCTTGTTTATAAAATTTCTTATGAAAGCCAGTATGTTGGCGTTTATGTTCCAGTTTTGTTATTTGTTTAGTATGTTGGCTCTGCAGGCTATATCAAAAGCTTTATTGATATCGAAAAATATTGCCAGGCATTTTTGTTGGTTAATAAATGCCTCGTGAATATCACTTTCCAAGTCTAATAGATTATTAGCGGTACTTCTCTGTTTCCTAAATTCACATTTTTCTGAAATAACTAAATTTCTGCGTTCTAATTCCCATAACAATCGATTGTTAACAATTTTTTCAAGGGTTTTGCACATTGGTTTATAAGAGTCTGCCGAAAGTTTGTTTTTTCCAGATTTCAGAATGGGTATCACTATTGCTTCTCTCCAATTGTTTGGGAATACATGGTCTTTCCATAATTTGTTAAATATTTCTAGTAGAATTTTTTTTTGTCTTTTTTGGCAAATGTTGTAGGAATATTATGGGTATATTATCAGGTCCAGGGCTAGAATTTTTGAAAGAATTTATAGCGTCATCTAGTTCTGCCTCAATAAATGGATTATTAATAGGTGCATTATTGCTTGTATTTATTGGAAAATTTGTAAAATTTGTTAGTTGTCTGTTATTTAACTAGTTTTCTCTGTAATTACGTCGCTAAAATTGTTTTTATAGTTGTTAGATAATGTTTTAACTATTTCTTTAGGGTCTGATATTACTTTTCCATCTTTCTCGAGATACCTTATTTGTTGAAAGGAATTTCCTCCTGATATTTGCTTAACTTTTTTCCAAGCAATTGTCATATTTGTTGATACATTTATGCTTTGCACAAACTTTTTCCAGGATTCTTTCTTACTATTTTTAATTTCAAACCTGGATTTAGCTCTTAATTCTTTAAACCTGTTAAGGTTTTCTAGATTTGTATGTTAAAAGCAGCTTTACTAGCTTTGATAGCCGCTTGACATTTTTCATTCCACCATGGTACAGGGTTTCGTTTTTCTATCATAGATTTCTTTCCAATAGCCTCTTCTGCTGCGGAGTTTATAATGTTTGTAAATTGTTTGACTTTTTCATCAATTGTATCTGATGTATCAAAGTTGGTTATTGATACTTCAATTAAGGATAAGTAGTTAGTCCAATTTACATTGTCGTGTTTCCATTTGAGCAGTGGTGTTGTATTTTGAGAAAATTGACGGGTGTCCAATATTATAATAGGAAAATTATCACTATCATATAGGTAGTTTGATATTTTCCATACTAAGTAGGGAAGAAACTGTACATCACAAATAGTAAAATCTATGGCTAACAATGAGCCATTTTAAGAATTAAACCTAGTCTTTCTGCCATCATTTAGTAATGCTAAGCCTAGGTCATTTATTAAACTTTCAATATTATATTCCCTTGAATCAATTTTGTCCGACCCCCCTAAGAAGTTGTGTCCGTTAAAATCGCTCAAGATTAAGTTTGGTGAGAGTATTTGAGATATTAGATTAGCTAAGTCTGTAATATCTTGGAATATAGACATTACAAATGTTAAATTGGACTCTAGAATGGATACTTACTGCTACAGCTTCTAAAGTGGTATTTATGTTAATTGGTGTTGATTTAGTGTTGTTATGAATATAAGTTGCTACACCTCCCCAACTTCTGTTTCCAATAAATCTGTTTTTAAAGTATAGTGTAATTTTTTAGTTTGTGAACATTTGAGTCTTTTAGATTCCATTGTAAGGTGGTCATTTTTAATAATAATCTTGTGAATTTATTGAGGAATCGCTACTTGGTTCCAGTTCTGAGATGTATTGTTGTAGTCGCTTCCTTATTTTTGTGGGACGGGATTTTATTTTTCTGTCTTTTATGTTGAAATGAATTTTTATAATAGTGCAATGTGAGCCATTTCATTATTCAGTCATGCTCTAATACTCCAAGTCTTTCTCTGTATTATTTGGCCTTTGAGGCTCAACTTGTCCGATTATTATACATAATTAAACCCCTTAAGACCAAACCTATGTGACGACTATGGTGGAGACACTTTCACGAACAATCCAGAAAGAACGAGATAATGTTTCTAGTGTATTGGAGAGAATATGTGAACTTACTAGAGCATCCGCCAATTTTTTAAGTTTGTATATAAATATTGGTGGATGAGCCATCAGAGTTAGTTGTTATATGGACAGTGAAGATAAATAGTAATTAGTAGATAAATAGTGGTGAATATAAATAGTGATCAGTCTAAAGACATTCGAAGTATATATAAATTAGAATAGTTGTGTTATAAAATAAATAAGTGTTTAAATAAATTATTATTAAATAAACTGTTGTTTTAAAGTAAACAAACATCACAATAGTATTGGCTAATTCTTCCAGATTTGATTCGTAGTTTCGGCAAATGCTAATATGATCCGGAGATCTGATATTTATCAGTAGGTCATTTAGTTGGTCGTAATTTATACATAGTTCATCTTTATTGGATTCCATATAAGGTTTAATAGATTTTAAGTCTTTATTTAGGTCTTCTTATACCTTCTTTTTCTTGGGTTGTTCAGGTTTTTAAAAATGTTGATAATATTTTTCTATTGTTGGACTTTCAATTTCGGAAACATTACATTTGTTTTGACTGAAGTTGAATGTAAATTTATTTGATCCAGATGGTTGCGGTTGTTCCTTTTTGGAAATAAGTTTAATTGTATTGGTTTGAGTATAGGAGGGTGTTGGGGTTTCTACGACTGTAGTAATATCACAGTGGCTCATAGATTTATTTGTTGTAGGTGTGGTAGATTCGTCACCATCGTTAATTTCTTGATTTGGTTCAAGTGGTTGGTTATTTTGAGGAGGACTGTTTGAGTAGGTTGGTACTGGTTGTGTTTGGGGTGGATTTTGTGTATTAAGTTGATTTAAGCAATCTGATCCTTTGTGACCTAGTTGTTTATACTTATAGCACACCTGGCCATCTGCACTTAAAAATATGCGATACGTTGTATTATCATGCTGTATGTGAATGTTTTCAGGAATTGCATTAGTGGAAGGGGTTATATAAACTTTGCGACGGAAACTTAATATGTGTTGATAGTGAGGGTTAATTGCACCAATTCTTAAGAATGTCATTGGACTTACTAGGTTTTTACCAAGGTTCTGTAACGATGTAGTTAAAAGTTTATGTGGAATGGTAGGATATACTCGTATGTTAGATAATATAAGTCTTTCGGAAGGGCTATTTAATTTTCGAACTTTGATGCATTCTCCGTTTACAGTAATTTCTCCATTGTTGTCTGTTAAAAATTTTTCATAGATGTTTTGTGATGAGAGGTAGATACATATTCTATTATTCAACATTCTAGAAGCAAATAATATATTGCTAGGTTGAATATATGCTCCTAGTTGATAGAGGTATTCTTGCAAATTTACATTGTTCAAGAAAAGAAAACTAATTGCTTGTTCTTTTGTTGCGAGATTGAAAGTCTGATTATGATTTTGTTTGAGAGCTGTTGAGTAGGGCATGTTGGAGGTTGGATTTTCATGGGAATCAATTTTATTTGTAGGATCTCCTGCTAAGGTTGGAAAGGTGATATCATCCATTTTTCATTAAATGCCCCATTAGTATTTTTTAATATATTTTAACTGTTTATCCACGATATTTGTTAATATTTCTGGAACTGTGCAAACACCAACTGTTAACAATATAGTTCTTTTTCATCAAAAATAAACTTCTAATATTTGAACTTTCTTATTTATTTCAAAATTTGGAGATTTCACACAAAAAAATCCATTACGTTTCTTAGAAAGCACCATTTGCAGTTGAATATGAAAATATCATTTTCTAGTCACTTTTCACTCGATATAATATATATTTTACTTTTATTATTTATAAAAAGTATACGTTTAAAGTTTTTAAATCGAAGAAGGATCTACACCCTGAAATCATTGGAACTTTAAACTTTTGACGACAGTGGCCTTTTCTAATAACACAATGTGGATGTGATGGATGGTTATTCACTTCGATGGTGTTCAGAATTCACAACAAGAGAGAAACACTATGTTTAATACAGTATTTGTAGCTTTTAAATATTGATAGGAATTGAAATTACCTTCGAAAGTAGAATATTCTGTGAATTTAGAAGATACGACCTTTTCCTTCTGTTGATTTATTACTTTTTGTGTTCTGGGGTAATTCTAGCTTTAATGATACAAAGGTTACCAAACATATGATAGTTTACTTCCTTGGTAGACCTACAATAAAATACTTTTTACTTAATAACTAGGTATATCCAAAATAAAATGTCACCAATATTGTGAGTAGTGAGTTTTTATAATAAAAATCGTCCCTTTTTTAAACATCAATCTCTTTGAATTCAAGAAAGGTTTGGAACTTAGAAAGTGTGCTTTTTACTGTTGTCTTTACGTTGTGAATTTCAAAGCCAATAAACTTTACATTTCATTGTTAATCAGGATTTAATACGAACGTTAATCTGGTGTAACCCATTTGTTAACCCATTAATGCCCACGGGGTCGTTAACGACCCATCACATATTTGTGCTCAAAACTTATTACTATATAACAGTTTTTAATATCAAACGTTACTTTCGTATCCTTAACGAAATAATGCAGTAAGTTGACATTCTTACACATCGGTTCCAGTGTATGTTTGTTTTTTGTGTGTAACACAACGTATATAAACTTTTTATAGTTTGCGATGGCATCAATTCGGGACTGCTATTTGTTATGAAGTTTATATGCTTTGTTAACAATACAATTAATTTTAGAAGACATTATTCATATAGATGATATTTATTTCCATAAATATTACACAGTTGTCACATTGTGCTCGTTGAAAATTTACTGAGTCGTTAACGACCCCTTAGGCTTTACAAGTACCCTTAATTTGGTTCTTTTTTAGTAAACGTGCTCTTGCTACTGCAGAACTTTTGGAACAAATCGAACATTTTGAGGAAGATGATAGGGTTCCAGATGGTATTGTCATTTTGCCACCCGAAGAGAACGACGAACGAGAGCGCGGAAGATTCTGGGGATGAAGAATGCCAGGATCCGGATCGTTTATGTTCTGCACAACTAAATACAAAGGCTAAATTTTATTATGATCATCATAATGAAAATATAGCTTCTACATCTAGAAACCAACAGCATGAGAAATTTACAGAGACGGTAAGCAAAAAAAGAAAGACAATTATTGAAAAATCTGACCCTATTAAGTGGCAAACCGGAAAAGATTTGCAAATAGGTAACAGAAAAACAAAATTTTACTTATATAAATCAGTTGACTGTCTAGCTCTAATAAACTCTTGGAGTTTTTTGAACTTCTTTTGGTGCCAAATATCGTCGCCAAATTAATACGATATACTTGTATGTATGAAGCAAAAAAAACAAGGCGAACTTTGATTTACAAATCGACGAAATGTATACATTTATAGGAATCTGGCTTTTGAGTGGATATATACCATTACCTCGCAGACGAATGTATTGGGAAACGGCCGAAGATGTTCACAATAATTTAGTTTAAAATTCTATGCGTAGAAACCGATTTGCAAAGATATTCAGCTACCTCCACGCGCAGCTGACAATGATCATTTACCAAAAGATGATAAACTTGATAAAATAAGGTATCTTTTTTGTTTACTCTATTTCGGCCTGCCAGTGTTCTTAGTTCTTCGATGCATTCCCATACCAGCCTCGACGTAACTTTCTGACACGATATGGCCTTAAGTGCCGCTTGGCTGTCTGACATTATTTGAATATGCTGAATTTTGGACAGCTCTTTCATTATTCGTTTTTGCACATTGCAAAATTACGTATACCTCCGCCTGAAATACCGAAAAATGTATTCCTATAGCATAGCCATGATTAGTATCAGGGTTTTTGGAGTATACTCCCGCCCCAGTGCCTTCCGCAGTCTTAGGTTTGTTCCTGTTGTTGAGTATTGGGCTCCCTTATGGTGACCTCCGCTCTTTCCTGTATTAAAACCTCAAATAGAGTATTAAAAAAGTACTTCTTGGTTATGTGCTCTGATCTCATGTCTAGCACGTCTTCTGTCACTAACTTTGAGATAATCCCTAATCTGTAAGCACCTAATCTTGCGCCCCCTTGTATATCATAGTAAAGAGGTAGGAGTCCTATTAGTGCTTCCATTGCAACAGTGGGGGTTGTTTTAATTGCCATCGTTATTCCGAGGTAGGCAAGTATTTGTACCTTGCTTAGCCTCGTTATTGCTTTCCTTTGCTGTGTCTTTGGCAATCACACCAAAGCTGCGTATGTTATTATCGGTCTCACCACCATGGTATAAAGCCAATACACCATGTCTGGTTTTAACCCCCATTTTTTCCAAAGGATCGCCTTGCCATCATTAACAAGGTTTCCGCTCTCCTTGTGATTTTTTCTAGGTGCTGGTTCCAGGTAAGTCTCGAGTCAATCATAACCCCGAGATATTTAACCTCTTCCTTAAGCTGGATGCTTGCACATTTTAAGTTTAGAGGCCTTAGTCCCTCCAACTTCCTCCTGCAGGTGAATGCAATTATGTCAGATTTGTTTGGGCTAATGTTTAGTCCTTCCGCCTCCGTCTATTTTGTTACTATATTTAGAGCCTCTTGCATTCGATCACTATAGTGTTGTATTTTCCCTGTACCATGATCCTTAGATCATCGGCATGTCCCAGAGATTTATGTCTCTTATCTTTGAGAGTCCTACAGAGGTTCCACAGGAGTGGAGACAGCACACCACCCTGCGGATATCCTCTCTCTACCCGTGCCGCTATTGTATCTCCCATAAGGGTTGTGTTTATAGTTCTCTCCCTTAACATGGAGTCGATCCAGGACACGCACGTGTTCTCGATTCGTCTGTGTTTGAGAGATCTAATGATCGATTCAACGGAAGTATTGTCAAATGCACCCTCGATATCCAAGAATGCTTCCAGCATTACCTCCTTGTTTTCCAGTGTGTTCTATACCTCTTTTATTAATTGATGAAGAGCTGTTTCAGTTAATTTCCCTGCAGTATAGGCGTATTTGTCTTGGTATATTGGCCTCTGAACGGCCTCTAAGGTATCTTATTGATGCACTAAAGGTTCAGTGTATTCGATATGCACCTGTAGAAAATAACGTGTCCATAGATGAGTTGATGACCATATTATGACAGACATGGATGTAAGCAGTATATACGGGGAAAGCCCGTCCGGTTCGGCTACAAAGCTTGGGTAGCTGCTCTAAAATTTGAATATTGTTTACAATTTCAAATTTACCAAGGAAAGGAGAGCAACATGGATAAAATTAAAGGGATTGGTTTGGGAGAATTAGTGATATTTCATTTTGGAAATATTTTAAAACATAGCTTTCAGGATAGAAAGATATCATTGTTTTTTGATAATTTTTTTACTTCCGCAAAACTTATTCGAAAGTTGGGGCAAGAAGGATTTAGGGCCACTGGTACCTACTGTACGTGAAAATAGAAGTGATAAGTGTAAACTCATTGATACTTCAATCATGAAAAAACTTGACGGAGGGGCTATGTGTAGTGCACTGGATGGTAATAAACAAGTTGTCGGGGTCCGCTGGAAAGACAATAATGTGGTAACTTTATTAGCCAATGAATTTGGAATTGCCCCAGTTGGAAAGTGTAAAAGATACTCTGTAAACCAGAAGAGTAAAGTTGAGATTCCACAGCCATCCGTTGTCAATAAATATAACACATTTATGGGCGGTGTAGATCAGCTAAATAACCACGTTTCCAATTATAAAATTGCATTCCGAGGGAAAAAATAATACATACCGTTACTTTTTTGGCTGTTTGATGTTTAGAAACGTTTAGATTTGGCCTTATAGCGGTTTCTCATTCAAATAGAAATACGCTTGTTTTTGTCCGTGTCCAGTAATTATTAAATGGGTCCTTCTATACCCGCATTTAAACCATTGGTGCTTGTGAATCGACAGGCGACTGGATTTCTATCAGCTTAGTGTCGAAGGCGTTTCTTCGCGGGTCTTTTTCCATAGATTCAGGAGTTTTTCTGCGACACTCTGGGCGAGAAGGTGACTGCCCTGTATTCAAGGTGTCGGTCTAGAGTTTCCGCCCTGACGTTAATTAAGGGTATATGATCAGTTTGGGGTAGATAGGACCTCTATTTGAGTTAAGCTAGGTTATTTATTTGGTTCTAGAGGTTTGTTTGGTTATTTTAGCCCTTTTTGTCAAGAATTTATTTTGTAATAGAGGGCGCTGATGGGACACCTATTTGCCACTAAGGTGTCTTGGTATTATTGGTTTTTGAAGTGACGTCAGTTTCCTTTTTCTTGGAATTTGGAGATTCATTCGACACGTGGATAGAAAGGTAGATTCGAAATTTATTGGAACTCGTTTCAATCCATAATTGGGATATTGCGAAAAAACCTTTTGTTAAAAGTTACAACAGTGTGATTTGGTTGTATTTTTGGTGACCACCTGTTGTAAGAACTCTTTTAGGAGGATATATTTAACCACGTTCTGGATCTCGAATAGGTGAGTTTTTTTTTTAATACGGCATTTAGATTACGACGTAGTAGTTCTTTTTGTAAGGCCATTTTTCCTCTATTTCAGTGCTC